CCAGGATGTGGTTTTATTTATTTATTTTTAATTTTTAAATATATTTCTTTATTGATTTCAGAAAGAAAGGAAGGGAGAGGGAGAGATAGAAACATCAATGATAAGAGAGAATCATCAATCGGCTGCCTCCTGTACACCCCCCACTGGAGATTGAGCCCGAAACTTGGGCATGAGCCCTTGGCTGGAATCGAACCTGGGACCCTTCTGATGCTCTATCCACTGAGCCAAACCGGCTAGGGCTCAAGATGTGGTTTTAAATGCTTATAACTATTGTGCACATTTATATAACAAGAAGATGTGATTTTCAATGCTTACAAATATTCAAAGAATACATTATAGATACCTCTTGATGGTGAATTAAGTTTGAATTTCTAGAGGAACCAAATAGGCTGAAAGAACTTTAAATAAGGTTTTCAACATAAACTACAGAGCAGCCCTGTAGTTTGGAGGCCACATGCCAGTGATACAGCCACTATTCAATTACACAGGAGAATCAACCAATTGTGATGTTCACAGAAAGGATAAAGCAGAAATGAATGCATACTTACATGTGAAAAGGAAATTTCATTTTCAAGCACTTATAAGTATAATCCGTTGTTACCAAAAAGGAAACAGAATATAATAGGTGCTCAAAAAACACCTTATACTGACATTTCCCATGTGAAATTTATTGTAAGAGACCTGAATTAGAAGGGACCAGCAATATTGTGAGGTTGTTAAGGACTTGAAATGTGCACCAAGGTTAAATAGATTCACATCCCAGCTCTGCTACATACCAGCCAGGTAACTCACCCTTTCTGTGCCTTCATTTCCTCAGTTATAAAATGGAAATGAAAAACAGGACCAACCCATAGAGGTATTGGATAAATTAAGTGAGGTATATATGCACAGTATTTAGAATGGTGCCTAGAACATAGTAAACACTCAATAAATATTTTTCTCTTTTTTTTCGCCTCCTCTCCCTCCTCATCCCCTCCTCTAATTTTTCTACTTTCTCTTCCTCTTCTGTTTTTCACATGAATAAGGGACAGGTATACTAATTGACTTGACTTATGTATTACTCTAAACTTAATACTATAAATATGCAACCGGTAATATTTCAGTTGGAGATATGTAATATTTAGAATGGTTCTTCTGAGTTTTTGTATTCAGCCACTTACAATAGTCAATTAATACTATATCTTATTAAGGGACCTGTGCTCATTAGATATCATCCTTTTTGTTCACATTTTTTTCATGTTCTTTTCTTCAAGTTACCTACAGAGCTTAGAATGCCCACTCAACCCTGAAGGATGATAAAAACTTTTCAATCAAAGCACTAGTCTGAAACTTCCAGAGGCTCTACCTAGACCTATTCTAAAGGTAGCAGGAAACTCAATGCACAATGGGAAATTCACCAGGAGCGATTTAGCCGCCTGTAACTCAGTGTGGGCCCTGTCAATGAGAAACTCTGTTGTGTGCTTTCGGGGTCTAGCTGCTCAGAGGTATTTTATGCTTTGATATCAAAGATGAAAGAAAACTCCTGGAAAGTGAATGTATAATCATGTCAGCTGTGGATTCCACGAAGAAAATCAACTACTTTAACCACAGACATGGCCTAGAAAGACTCAGAGCCAAGGTAATCTCACACCTAAAGGATGAGATATGTAAAGACAGTCACTGGTTTCTAGTTACATATTGACTACTTTTCCAGAAAAGTACAGACCTCTAAATTAAAAGACTTTTTTTCTTTATTTTAATTGTTGATATTCTTACAGATGTCCCCCCCCACTCCCTTATTCTCCTCCACCCAGCCCTCACTCTCCCTTCCCTCTGGCCATTACCACACTGCTATCTGTATCTATGGGTTATGCCTATATGTGTTCTTTGGCTAAACTAGAAAGTTCGATCAAGAAATAAAAGGTGCTAAATGTCTTTGCAACAATATATAGCAATTTACAAAAATGTATTAGCTTGCGTTAAAAAATTCTCAATAAATGTGAGAAAACATTTAAATCAGGCTTCCTTTTTATTATTAGCTCAATTTTGCAAAATGTTAAGCTGGAGGGCGATGGAGAAAACAATTCTGAGCTCTTTTTTTCAACACATTTAATTAACTAATGAAGTTAGATTTAAATTGGCAACTCTTCCTGCATCTCCATATTCCATAGAATAAAAAGCAATGCTAGCATGCTATCCTGATGAAGATGCTATAAAACATAATATGTGATTTTTATTAAACACTGTTTTGAAAGAAAATTTATCTTAATACTGATCAGGCTAGTCTGCTCTAACTGTATTTTTAGGAAAACTATTTTATAAACAACCCTAGAGATGAAGAGAGTTCCAGTAAACAGACATATTTGAACTCTCATTGTGATATTTTAAAATTCTGATGGACACCTGCTGCATATCAATGATCTCAGTATCACCTGGAAATCCAAGTACACTGTTCTAGCAGAACAAAAAGTGAAAAAGGCCTCCATTTAAATGTTCGAACTTACTTAACTTGGTTTCTCAGCGTCATAAGGTAGTTCTAATGTCCTGAATTAAAAACATCTCCAGTTTTATGATTCCTTGCTGCTTTAAACAACACTAAGGAATGTCTTTGAAATAATTGGCAATATTCTAGGAACCTATTTCCCAATGTGTGCTTGACAAAACATGGAGTCTATGAGATGCTACTTATAAAAAGATTTTATGACCAAATGAGAAATGTTAGCTGCTCCATCTTTATTACCATCTCACAGTTTCCTTAGAATACATGATCTCTGAAAGCAAGGAACTTGTCTAAGTTTTGGTCTCTGCCATAGCCCCTAGCCTACAACAATGCCTCCCCATGAGCAGTGTTCAGCAGGAATACATGGAAATGAATGAGCAAATGAACATTAAAAGCCCTGAACGATTCTCCAGCCAAAACCACTTTCATTTTTCTCTCACCCAGAGTACCTCACACCTATTTAAACATAGGAATCTTTTGTTTGTTCTGGTAGCATTATAGAATATTTTATTTAAAAAAAGAAGAGAAAAGAGAGCATAGAGAGTATTATAATACACAAATGTCACCACTACCCCTATGAAGAATTAAATGTTACAAATACAACAGAAGCCCCTTGGGAGCCCTCCTCGATATCAGTCATCTCATGCTACACATCTTCCTCAAATGAGGTACTCCCAACATTAGGATTTATACTCACATGGGATTTACTAACATCCCACTTTGAAAAATCCTGAACTGAGAGAATGCTAGAGTCCCTTTAAACACTAAGATTTAAATTTATTTCTCAATAGTATATAGTTTGCAAATGGTCAGCTGTAAAGCTATCCATTTACTCCATTAATACAACGAGTAAAAAAATAAATGAAATAACACTGATATAGAAGCAAGACAATGGACAACTGATGTAATAATGATAAATATAAAGAGGATAAGTAGCTTACTTTGTATGTAAATAAACTGATATGAAATATCCTATATAATAAAAGGCTAATATGCAAATCGACCAAACAGTGGAACAACTGGTCGCTATGACATGCACTGACCACCAGGGGCAGACGCTCAATGCAGGAGCTGCCCCCGGTGGTCAGTGCACTCCCACAGAGGAAGCGCTGCTCAGCCAGAAGGAGGGCTCAGTGCAGCAGCTATGGAGGGAGTCTCTCCTGCCTCTGGGGCAGCACTAAGCCATCAGTCAGACATCCCCCAAGGGCTCCTGGACTGCGAGAGGGCACAGGCTGGGCAGAGGGATCCCCGAGTGCACAGATGCCATGCACCAGGCCTCTAGTAAATATATATATATCAGGTCACTGTACACATACTTAAGAAAACATAGATATATTTGCAACTTAACCTAGACTAAGTAATTTAGGAGCCATCTGTACAGTTATAGAGAAAAATGTCCTAACAATTTTGACATACTCACAAAATCACCTGGGGCTACACAAGTAAAACTGTCTGGATCAATATTACAGCAGGCCACATTTACATAATAGATGCTGCTAAGAAGAGGAGGAGACCCTTTTCCTGAGCTGAATAAACAGTTACTAATAAAGAATCTCTTTTAAGATCCAGCATACTATGATAAAGAAACACAATGAGCTAACAAAGTTTAATAAGGAAAAAACTATTTTTAAAATTTTAGTCAATATGTTTTACAGCCTTGTTTTGGTAAAACCTTTCTTCCTCAAATTTTCAAGTACCATTATAGATATTTCTAAATTGACTTAGACACACTTTAAGTATGCTCTAGCTAAATGTTCTCTTGCATATTTAATTTTTGTGTCTTGCTTCAGATAAAAGATAAAAAGGCCTAACACAATATATTTCCACATTGTTTTATTTCTTAATTTTATTTATAAAGGATATTGAATATTCAATTTAGTGAAAGAAAAGCACACACAATTGAACTTAATACCTGCTCTGGGTAGAAAATCACATACACAATTAAATCAAGAACCGGAGCAGGGGTGGAGACGGCCAGCCCGCAGACTTTATAAGGCCCTCAAAATCATTTGGTCTGGCCCTACCATGGCATTAGGGGTGAGTTAATTAAATATTTGGCCAAATATAGCAGGCTAATTTTTAAGTTGATAATTTTGAACGGCCTGAGAATGATGTTATAAATATCCAAATGGCCCTTGGCAGAAAAAAGGTTCCCCACCCCTGAACTGAGCAACGGATAGGAGATGTGCAGGGTGTATTAGCCTTAATCCTCTCCATCTTAATCCTTGCTATTATCCCAATACTACTTACACCAAAACAATAAAGCACAGCATACACAGTTTTCATTGGTCATTTGTGCCTCGTAGTTTTCATAGTAGAAGGACTGGAATTTCTTTCTACTCTTGAAACCATTTTACTTTTCAAGCCAACACACTGAATTCTTCTTTTGTAAAATACCAACAGAAAGTGAAATGTAACCTCACTCTTTATTTAGAAGCCCCAAAGTCCTTTCTCAGATTAAAATGAATGTAATTGATTAGTATCCAAAAATATTTATAAAAGAAAAAGTGTTAATTCCTACCTCCATTATCTTTTAGATGCAGTGCTATCTTGGTATCATCTGAAAGAGAAACTCAAAGTTATTACAACAGAAAAAAAATAAAAGTACATAAATCTCAGGAGCAATAATTGTACACTAATGTTTTAATGATACTAATGTTTTAATGATAATGTGAATAGATTTTAACACTTTAGTGAGTTAATTTCTTGTTCAATGAGAGCAAGTGCTAGCTTACACGATGTAGTACTAAAATTTCTTCATGAAATCAAGACTTTATCGAGTATTATATAATTCTTAAGATCTGTGAGAAAAGTACATTGTTATAACTGTAATTTAAAATACATGTATTTTTAATTTTCAAAAATGAGTAATTGTAATTAGATTTTATAGTATGGCCTTTTCTATTCATTAAAAATTAAGATCAAGAAAATTTCAAATTAATTGTAGTAATGATTTGCCAATATTTACAAATTTAACTTCAAAAGTTAAATGCTTATTCATTGCTAATCAATATATCCAACTTCACATGAAAAATATCTTGACTTTAATGGACAAAATGTAGATCATACTTTTTTATTTCAGTGGTTATATTTTATTTTATAGGGTAGGATTCAAATTGTAGGAATATTTCACAGGGTAGGATTCAAATTGCGAAAATATTTTCACAGGCTATATTCAACCTAAATAATTTGGATTAAAATAAATATAACATTGGTGTTAAATATCTAAATAAATGTATTTAATAGTTGTCCTCTTCCTCACTATCACTTTATTCCAGTTAATTTTTGATATCCAAGTAAATTTCAATGAAAAGCAAAGGCTTCAAGTTTAATTCCTTATTCAAGTGAAAGCAAGGTTTAGTACAGTAAAGAAGAGAAACCATTTTTCTCCCCTCAAAGCTTACTTTTGGCGAACTAGTCTCACATTTCTCTTTAGTGGTACCATCCAGAATATTCACAAACTTTGACTAATATTCCTCTTCCCCCAGTGAATTGTATCCGTGCATTAATGGACTCTGGCGTGTTTCTCTTCCCTGGCAGAGGTGATGTTTCCCACGGATAATTTCTGTGACATTTATAGTACCCTCTACAGGTTATGGACCAACATATTTTATTGATTGTATTCAGGCAAATATTAGAATTGCAAATGAGTAGAATTATGTATTGTTCAGAATCCAAAATCAATGAATATTTTATATAAATTTGCCTTCATATCCTGTGTCTAAAATGTGGAATTCAGTTACTTCAAAGTTTAGCAATACTAGAGGAAGTCTATACTTCTTTTCTAGGGAGGACAAATAAGCCACTATTGAAAGGCAAAGTACATTAAAAGAATCCTAGCACATATTTTTATTCCATAATAATTTTGTCTTTTCCCCTTTAGAAATACAATTTGCTAAAAAAAATAAAATAAAAATTCCCTCTAAAGAACAACTCCAGTCCATGTCAACACCCTGAGTTTGCACCTTCTGTGGGCAGGCTGGTGGGCAGCTGGGATGTTGCTGCTCTTCTGGTGGTTGTTAAGAACCTAAATAGTACAGTAGTTGCTTGCATGGTTGTGGTGGTCTGAGAAGAACTTTCCACTGGCTCCACAGTCTCACACATCTTCTCTTTTGACTAATAAGAGAAACAAATGGGAAAGCAATTTAAGAGTGATCATATGTTATTTAAAATTACATCTAAGAAACTGGTCTGTAAATCACAAAAGACTCTCGAATCAACATGAGGGCTACACTTTTGTACAGGACTATATTTAGGGATTTGTTCATTTACAAAGTATGTAAAAAGATGAGAGAATAAATTGGATGTAAAAAAGCACTTCCATCTTTGGAAATTTGAATTTCATCATTTTCTGCTGATAACCTTTCTGTTTACATAATACTGCTGTTAATCTTGCTCTAAATTTTATGTCAGTATATGTGTAAAAAACATGATGTCAAAAAGGAAAAGGTTATACAAGAAGAAAAACATGTCCATGAAGATAAGGTTTAAAACATACTTAGGTATGTGAAGAAAAAATGCATTCTCTCCATATCAAACTGATAATGACAAATTCTAAAAATTTGGTGACTGCTCCATACTACTACTATTTTAACAAGAATCCCCCACAGATTGAATGGGTATTTAAAATGTGTTTCCCTTTGTGAAATATTGAAACCACCCAAGTGAAATATTGAGCAACCCTCCTTTATCACTTAACCTATCATTTCCCTAGCAGAGCTTTACTGGGGACACCAGGGAAAGGTACATGTTGTATTTTTCACCTATAGTCCATGCAAATAAATCCTATACCCTTCACCGGTAGCAATATTCAACATTCAAACTTTTATGATTTGGAAGCTGGTATTTCTCCCCACCTCTTTGTGCTTCATAGAACTCCATCCCTCAGGTGGGCCTTGAGGAAACAGATGATAATTATTCTGACATGGAAGGCACTCCTCCCACATCTGAATTTATTACTAAATAAATACTTCTCTTACACTTCTCTTGTCACTAGTGAAGTAAATGCACTTTACTACTGCTTAGAATGAGTTCCTGAGATGGCTTCCTTTTCACTAATTGGATATGACACAGGTTTATTCTATACTTTACCATCCCTGGGACCCATTCAATTCCCCTAATTTTAGTTCCTATATCTTCTCAGCCCCCAAGATCTCATGATCATCTCTTGATTCTACTTTAGTTATCATCTCCATATCCTGAACCTTATCTGAGGTTGAAAATACTTTACTTCTGGAATAATAACTCCAGTTACTCTATTTTCAGCTAATCTATGTACCTGTTCACTCAGATTCTTCTTATCCTGTGATTACATAGGATTATTGTCTTCCTTTATGTATTCTTTTTTTCTATCACATCAACTTCTTTTTCAATAATATCATGCATCTTTACCTTATTCTTCTTTCCACATCACCTTTACAGAAAATCATCAATAGTTGTTGTTGTTGTTTTTAAAGAAATCTATCTTTTCCTTGACTGCTCAGGCACAGCTGGAGAAAAACCACACAGCCCCTCATAGGGAGGTCTGAAAACTTACCTCCTGTATCCTCAACAGTGTCTTTTAGGCTGCTTGGCAACAATGGCCTGCTTTGCTAACCTCTTCTCCCATTACCCTAAGTATAAATTTCAAACCCGCTTCAATCTACTTAAAAACTCCAGTCCCATTATGCTTCTCCCATTTTTATCTCATGGGCTCATCTTTTATTTCTTAAATAAAAGAGCCATCAGCAAGAATTCTTTTCTTTACAAATCAGCATTCTTCCTCGAAGTAGCTCTTTGACAGGATTTGCTTAACTGATAAGAAAAATGGTGTAACTGTTCATTGTTTTTATCCAAAATTCATACCCTAAAACTTAAAGGGTGAAGAAACATAATTTTCTTTGTACACAGATTTCTTTTACAGAATATCTTTATGTGACCCTGAAATGACAATGTAAATGCAATTCACTAGAAAACTGTTGAACAGGTTCAAATTGCCTCTGCAACTGTACACGTTTATATGAATTGCTTCATTGCATCATTGTCTCCATCACGTTCGCGTGGGAGTTACTGTTTCTATGTTATATCATTTTTAACTTCTATCAGTCCAATTTGCTGCAATCAATCTTTTCCTTCATACCACTGGCTTTATAATTTGAGTGGAAAATATGAAAAATGACTTCCTAGATCTTAGAAAAGCAGCAATAAGTGTTTAAGAGAACTATCCTTGGCTCATAGAAATTCAAATCCTGGTTCTATTATTCCCTATCCACATACCCAACTCTGGATACCCTCACTACATCCCTCCCCACCGTTCCCCCTCACCCCTCCCTCTTCTCCTCTTGGTAATATGGGGGCAATAATAGCTCCTACCTCACAGAATGGGTATAAGAATAAATTGAGAAAATACATGCAAAGATTTACAAGTAAAACCCTAAGTCTGGTACATATAAGGGACTCAATAACTGCTGTCTACTTTTACCAAATGAGATAGCATTGTCATTAAGTTATAGCATCTATATATGACAGCGTGTGTCCCCGCATCTTGTCATAATAAAGAACATGTGTACCTCTTCAGGGCATCCACTGTCCACCCAGTCCTGGCGATGACGATCAAAGCCACTGGAACATCTTCAGAGAAGACCACATTGCAGTTCAGAAAAAGAAGTAAGGGTGCAGAGTGAGGAGCAAAAATGAAAAGGAAAAGAACGGTAAGTAGGTAATTCTCAAATTTTCAGTTTAGCACAACAAGCTTTCTTCTGCAGACCTGTTGATTGGAGCAGCCATAAAGTATGAACAGTGTTCTGGGGAACAACTCACTCCCAGGTGGTCATCTGATTGGGTCAAACATGGCTACAAATGACTCCCCTGGGGCCCACTCCTCTGTGCAGGACACTGGGCTCCAACCCAAAGGTAAGACCAGTTGCTATTCTGAGAAGCTGGTTTTCCTCATTTCTGTTCTCACCGTCCAAACAAGTGGATATAGAAAAATATTTTGCAGGTGTCATTTTTTCAGAATATCAGATCTTTTTATTTGTTTTTCTTAAGTTTTAAAATTTGAGACTCATAGTCATAGAAACTCTACTGTATCATTAAGGGTTAACTCAGCAGGTCCGGGGTGTTCGACCCACACATTCCAAAGAAATAACCAGCCCTTGGGAGATAACGCCTGTGGACTATCCTGTTGGATAAATGCAAGATAGTTTATGCTAACAATATGATTTATGGTGAATGTCTGTTTTATTCACCTGGAGCGCTGGGCCATGCTCTATCCGTTTGAACTCTGTGGGGGCTGGAGACTAGAGATAAGGTCAGTCGTGGAGAATTTCATACCTACGTGACTGACCCTCCATAAAAACCCTGGGCACCAAGACTTGGATGAGTTTCCTCAGTTGGCAGAACATGCTGTGTGTTCACACATTGCTGCTGGGGAAGAAGTGCTGTCTGTACGACTGCACTGGAAGAGGACAACCGGAAGCTTCTCTTCTGGACTCTGCCCTCAGTGCCTTTCGCCTTTGCTGATTTTCATCTCAATCCTTTTGCTATAGAAAATGGCAGCCTGGGGTATAACAGCTTTTCTGAGTTCTGTGAGTCCTTCTGCTGAGTCATTCAATCTGAGTGTGTTCTTGGGAATCCCTAACAACACTATGATTAGGTCATATCTAAAATGGCCCCTTGAGCAAGCACTGGGCTAGTAAGATTTTGTTCACTCTTTCTTCCTCGACTGGAATAACTTTCTGCCCTCTAGCTACAGTCCATTGATTTTTTTTAAGAAACACAAAAATTACTCTCCAGAGCCCATTCTGATAAAGTTTCATAATTGCTATTGATCACATCTTACTTTACTATGTAACTTTTCTTCTTTATACAAAATGTCATGTCCTTATTTACCAAACTTGATTGTTAACATTTTAAAGTTATGGCCAGTGTCATATATGATCATACCTAGTATGGCTGACACATGATTTTATTTTCTTATTAGAAATTCAAAGTATTTTTGTCAGTTTATTAAAATTAAAGACTTAAACTGCTCCTGAATTTAATATCTATATAGTCATTTGCATACAATATATATGAATCCATACTAATAAATGTTAACCTAAAGATATTTAAATATTTAAAAAAAAATGAAGACTTTTCAACTTTTGTCTTAAATTTCCTTATAGAGCTTATAGTGCTACTCTTCTTTCCCACTTGTTTTGCAGTGGGTCCACATGATGACTTTTTCTAAGAATCTTTGCCAGAGATTATGCACTATGGCATGAATGAGCATAATTTAATTCAAGTGGAATGTGAAAACAACTCTACTGTCAACATAAAAAAAACACACACACCATATCTATCATTCTGCCCAGACATGATTCATTGGAGCTCAGCTATTTTATGCCTACCATCTGTGTTGAATGAGCATAAGTGTGGAATAAATATCAGTGTGTGACCTGGCACGCTAACTTTGAGAATCCCCAGTTGGTCAAGGCCATCTCTGGTTATGCAAAGAAAATCTAACATTTAGAGTCTATTTAATTCCACTTGAGTTAGATGGTTGTTCCCTCCTGTTCCTTTTGCCTTTCAAGTTTGTTTAAGTATGGAAAAATATACATACTGACATTGTGTTTTGCAAGATGGGGATATATCGATTTTCTACAATAACAAGATTTTGGGGAGCCAGCTGACTACAAATAATAAAATGGAATAGATCATTTTAAAATGAAGGTTTTTTTACATACTGTATGGCAAATGTATTCAAAGACAATGGCAAATAACAACTTTTACCTTATTTTATTACAAAATTGTAGTAAATCTTAAATTTATAAGTTAACTGAAATTTTATCTTAAGTAATTAGTTCTTTAAGTGGTTAAATCAATCCCAGGGAAAAGTACAGAAGCACTGCATTTTTGCTTGATTTATTAGATGGTCCCCAGTTATATATGTGAAATGAGGTTCTACTGAAAATCTGTGATTCAATTAAGCAATTTATTCATTTATTCACAATTGATTCTCTGTTAATTGATCTGCAGTTTACTAATTGCCAGGGTAGGAAGGATTGACAATGGCAAACACCAATAAGATTTGGTTTGAAATGCTCATGCATTCTGTAGCTTACAGTGGCTTAAAAATTAACACAACTGCCAAAGCTGATTTGGCTCCGTGGATAGAGCTTTGGCCCATGCACTAAAAGGTCTCGGGTTCGCTTCGATCAAGGTCACATAACCAATGGATCTCTCTCTCTCTCTCTCTCTCTCTCTCTCTCTCTCCCTTCCTTCCACACTCTCTAAAAATCTTCCTTAGGTAAAGATTAACAACAATAACAAAAATTAACACAACTGAATGCTGCTTTTTTAGCATTTTTTTATAACCTAATATAATCTAAATAGCACCCAAAAGCAATTATAAACAAAAGAGTGTGTGTATGCTATAAATTATTAAGAAAAACCACCTTTATGTTATTTCTGAATTCAAAATAAACCAAAAATCACTTTTGAGATCAACTTCCTCTCTCCACTGAGCTGCTGTGTTGTTTTTTTCTAAAACACAGAGACATTAACAATGCCATGCTCCGGCATATTGATGTCCAGACATTTAAAAAATATATTTTTATTGATTTCAGAGAGGAAAGGAAAAGGAGAGAGAGGTAGAAACATCAATGATGAAAGAGTATCACTGATCAGCTGCCTCCCACATGCCCCCAACTGGGGATTGAGCTCACAACCAGAACATGTGTCCTGACCAGGAATCGAACCGTGACCTTCTGTTTCATAGGTTGATACTCGACCTCTGAGCCACACCAGCAAAGCAATTTCCAGACATTTTTAACACTGTTAGCAAACAGACTCTTCTACATTGTAATCATCTAGTATTCCTGTTAAACTAAATTCCTGAGTATATCTGTATAAGAAAGATTCTCTGATGAATTTGGGTTCAGCAATTTTCATTGTAAATAGTCATCCCACGTGATCCTTACCACACTGAAATCTGAAAACCACTGACATCCTGTATATGTCCCCATAGCAGGCCCCTTCCCACGCCTCTACCCATCACTGCAACCTGTTCTTATGCCCCTTAGCGCCCCTCCCTGAATGTACTGTGCTCTTTGATGTCTCTGACTTTGAACCTGTTATGTGTTACTTGTGTCTAGAATACCTTCCCTGTTTCTAATCAGTAAACCCAATTGAACTGAAGCTTATTTACTCCAAGAAGCATCTACTTTCTTCCCATCCAGAAGGGATAACAACCCTTTCTCAGTGCCCTCCATATCAACCCAATGTCAAGTGCTAGTATCTATTACACTACAATTGGTTGTGTTCGAGCTTATCTTAACAAGACCTCGAGGAGACCATGGTTCAAAGGGAGGATTTGGAGTTCAACTGCTTGAGCTGGAATTTTGGCTTGGGCACAAAACAGGTATGTAATCTTGGGAAGTTATTTTTCCTATCTAATCTTGTTTCCTCATCTGCAAAATGAGGTAGGAGAGGTTATGTACAGATTAAAGTTAGAGCTTGCTACATAGTCAACATTTAGTCAATAGCAGCTGTTTTTCATACCTAGGTCATGACTTTGTAGTATACATGTGGTAAGGTTGACAATTGTTGAAAATGAGCCAGTGAGATTTTCATGATATGAGCAGTATTTTGGAAAATGTTTAGGAATTAATTGTGTACCATATTAATGTGAAATATACTTTATCATCATATCTGGGAATCTATAATAATAAAAGGGTAATATGCTAATTAGACTGGACATCATTCCTGATGAAGCCGGGGCCAGAGGGAAGCCCGGGTCCCGGGTACCAGAGGGAAGCCGGTGCCGGCAGCCGGGGGAAGGAAGGCCTATACTCTCTTGCATGAATTTCATGCATCGAGCCTCTAGTTAGTATTATAAAATCTTATGAGAGAATATCAAAGTTGCTCTCAAATATGGGACAAATCTTTATTCAATATTTATAAATAAGGCAGAGATTACATGGTTTTGTAAATATTTCTCAAAAACTGACTTAAATATGTTTATTTAATACATATTTAACTTTACACATCTATTTAATATGTATCCTAACTTTGATGTTTCTAATGTTTTTTGGAAGAAGTCATTTCCTTCTTCTCACTCTTACCTAATTCCAAAACAAATGGATAGAGAGATATACTTCAAATTAATTGTACTATTCTCTGCTCACTTTCAATGGGATGTTGATTTCAAAGCCCCCAGGGACCATGTTAAGAGAACCCTATTAAATTAGGCAGCCTAGAAAACAAACAATAGCTTGAAGTATCTATCCAGTCAAGAGATTAAAGTGTAAATCTCTTCAAATCTCTAACATATCTGTTTTGTAGAAAGAATTTCAGAAATGACTTTTTATTTTATTTTATTTTTTTAATATATATTTATTGATTTTTTACAGAGAGGAAGGGAGAGAGATAGAGAGCCAGAAACATCGATGAGAGAGAAACATTGACCAGCTGCCTCCTGCACACCTCCCACTGGAGATGTGCCCGCAACCCAGGTACATGCCCCTAACCGGAATCGAACCTGGGACCCTCCAGTCCGCAGGCCGATGCTCTATCCACTAAGCCAAACCGGTTTCGGCAAGAAATGACTTATTTTATAAGGGTAATATATTCAGGTGAAGGAAATAGAG